CCCCACCCGTTGAAAATAACTAGCTATAAACGTCCCGTTATGGCTTTTAAAAAATATATTTTAAAGTGTTTGTGCACATGTAATTGCCTTGTTAATAAAGTTAAATGGTGATAGCTACCTAGGAAATATGAGTGACTCTCAATTTGCTATGCAAACAGTTGAAGCACACTCATTTCAGACTGAATACTCTCCTAATAAGGGGTCAAACTGAACTTAGCAAATTATTTACTTAATTGAGCCCAGTTTTCTCAGTGGTACATTGAGGAGTGTTGAGTGAGTCTCTTCTAGTTTGAAAAGTCAATAAATACATTAATCCTAAAGGTATTTCACAGATGCTTTTTTTGAATATTTGTTGTCATTGTTAGTGAGATGAATTCTACTTAATGTATTTATAAGAAAGGTTTTTGAAAACCTTTTCCAAGTGAAGTTGAACTTTTTCAGTTTATGAAAACTTTTGCAGTTGAACAGTGATTACTAAAATCCATGTTTGCTAAAGTGCAAAAGAGGAATCATTTTCATGTTTAAATAGTTTATATGTGTATATCAAAGAGAATTAATTACACTTTTTATAATATTTGCCATTTTGCAATCAGAATTTTCAGCATGTTCAGCATTTTCCCTTCTGGGGATTTAGCCTATGGATGTACCAACACACATGTACAAGGTTTTTAATGCACTCAAGTGTGTTACAACCAAAAATTGACAACCAAATGAATATCTGTTAGAATGCTTAAATGAGGATATAATGAGGTAGATCTCTACATGTAGGTTGTAGTAATGTAGGGAAACATCCACAAACATCACAAAGTGCAAAGTAAAAAGCCACATTTACATTTATGTAAATAAAATTGTGTGAAAAAATTTCACACACATATATATGACAGATAAAGGCCTATGTGCTGGCAAGTACATACAATATTTTCCTGAAAAGCTAAATACGTAACAGTGCTTCCACAAATTGACACAGGTTACTTTTGGAGAAAGGGAGTAGGACTGATGGTTTCTTCAAAGTTTGTTAAGTGCTTACATGAACATTGTATCTTATGTTTAAAGGTTGTTGCAACCTCTTTAACAGAGATAGAGAAAAAGAGAGAAAGATAATTAAGTTCTGGGTCAGTTAATCCATATAAGACTTCCAAATAAAATTTTATTTAACTCAAACTGAAACTGTGGTAAAAATAATATTAAATTTCAAGTAGGGATTTTTCCCAGGAAGAAAAGGATAATTGAACATGGCAAAAACTATCAATATAAACAATCACATTAATGATAGAAGAGAATGAAGTGATTATCTCCATAGATGCAGAAATAATAAATAGTAAAGATTAGCCTCTATATTAACAAACAGAAACTTCATAAATGATAGTATTGTAAGAGAATAGAATTCTTTGTGGAAAGCACCAAGTTATGCATTAATAATAGACTATTATCTAGAAGCCAAGCACAAAGATTTAAATTTATATAGAGCTAAACAAACAAGCATGAAAGAGACTTATTCCATAAGACCTTTCACCTGAAAATGACACATAGAAACAGCAGTAGTACACACAATCTCCAACTTAGGAAAGTTTGACTTATGATTTTTTTACTTCACAGTGGTGTGAAAGCCATAGGTATTCACTAGAAAATTACTTCAAATTGTGAATTTGGTTCTTTCCCCAGACTAGTGACATACAGTGCAAGCCTCTGTAATTATACTGGGCAAGAGGCAGGGAGTCACAGCTCCCAAGTAATTACAGGGTCACAAGGGTAAACAACCAGTACCCTTACATTCTGTACCCATACAGACATTTTGTTTTTTAACTGTGCATACAGTATTCAATAGATTACATGAGATATCCAACACTTTATTATAAAATAGCTTCGTGTTAGTTGGTGGTGTTTCCCTGCTGTTCACTAATGTAGGTGTTCTGAGCACATTCAAGCCACAAGGAAGACCTCAGGGTGTCTGAGACTCAGGATGTCTGAGACATGAAGTGTATTAAGTGCATTTTTGACTTATGATCTTTCCAACCCGTGTTGGGTTTATCAGGACATAACCCCATTACAAATCAAGGAAGATCTGTATATGTTTCTCAAGGCCATATACATATATTTGTATGACAAGTATGTAAAAGACATAAAGCACATATATTACAGAGGGCCCAATAGGAGAAAGGAGATTAAAGGCGGAACATGGGTTGAAGGAGGCAAATAAGAAAATAAAATAAAACCAAAAAGGAGCTTTGCCTTGACTAATGTCATGAATTGGCAAGTATGATCAAAGAAATTCTCTACGTTATTTCACAGTAAATAATAAGTTAAAACATAGCATGTACCCTGTACCCAGCATAGGCCTATAGCATAAACTGCAAAAGCTTTTTGGTTCTGGACTGGGTTTGGTTTGGACTTTGGTTTTGAACAAGTCTGCAACATAGGGACACAGCTAAGGGACTGTGCACAGAGCCCTGTGTTTTGGGGTTTTGTTTTTGTTTGTTTGTTTAGCATTTATCACTTCTAAGACATCCAGAGAATCGCTTAGCCACACTCTATGTTAGATTTCTTAATCTGAAAAATAAGACAATATTGACCTCTCTGGGGTTTGTGCAGAATCAATGAGGTAATACATGACTGGGAATAACCAGAATGCCCATCACATGCTGAGTGTTTTAACTAGTATTTGTTCTCCTGCCTCCATGCCCATCACCCTTTCAGTAATTCCATAGTTAATATTCTTTCAGTTGGAAAGGAGTTCATAGAAAAGACTGCAACTACTTCCATATATTGTCATTCCTGTTATACTCTCTGGATTTTTCAGAAAATCTTCCCTTCTCCAGCCCCAGCTCTAAATTACAGAACCTGTGATAAAGCTACTTATGATGGCTAATAGGGCCAATCAAAGGTAAAAGCAGAAATATTATGTGAAGAATTGCACATTAACTCATTCAGTCTACATAACCTTGTAAGTAATGTTTGATGAAAGTATTAATTCTGTCATTAAAAAAAAAAAGACTAATACATGTTGATGTAATTTCATTTAGCCATGCAGGCTTTGCAAGTATATTATCATCTATATATTTTTTTATAATTAACGATGGTGCTGCTATTTTCTTCCATAATTGGTGCATTTATTGAGAGATTTCCCACTGTTTGACTAATGCATTTCTTCCTCTATACTTTTTCCCTGCTGGGTCCCCACAGTTATGACGCTCAAAATTTATAGAGTTTAGATTCCTCTTGCTGCTATTTACATTCCTACTTACTGTTTATTCATAGGATCAAGATGGAGAGTTCTATGTTGGAGTGAGCTTTTATACAGATGATTAGCAATGGGACTCTGAGAACAATCACTTATTTTTTTGTACCATTAATGGATTCAAAAACAAGGCATACATAATACTTCCTAACACCACAAATGGGTCTCCTTTATGTGCAGTGTTGACTGCATGATAGCATTGAAGGAATGTTTCATCAGAAGGCAGTTCAAGGTTTATGAATCTGGAGTCATAGGCAATGTTATTTACATTCCACTTTTGCAACTCCGGTGGGTATTGTGAATTTAGAATATGCAAGTTAGAACAGACTACATTCTCTCTTTTTTAATCACCGCCAAGACTAAGTGCAAATGAAGATTTGACAAGGCTGGATTACCATTACAGCCCTTATATGGTACCCAGCATGCCTTAGGAAACAGAAGTGTTATGCAAACAGTTGTCATGAATTTATTTTCTTTTTCAATGCCTGGTGGAAATGTACGCTGTGCAGCTAAAGAAATGCAGTGGGAATAATGATCATTCAAGGAATCTTCAAAGTGAGCTACAGGTATTTAATTTAAAAGCACACTAATTTGAGAGTTAGTATCCTGACAAGGAATATCATAAAAGCACAGTGATGTTAGTAACTGAGGGTTTTTTAAATCCTTTTCTTCAAAGCTTGGCTTGAAAAAAAAAAAAAAATTGTTGAATCTCTGTGTGGAAGATCATCAGGTCCTTTCATAATGTTTTACTCCAAACAGTTGATTATCATTCCACCTGAGGGAAGACACGAAGGACGAAGCTGAGTTTAACTCACCATTCCTCTTTTGCTTTGTTAGATCTGATGAGAGACTTGATAGCTATCGAGGTTTTCCTCCTCAATATCAAATGGCACTTCTTGACTTTGGCAGCTTTTTTCTGGTTGGTTGGTTGGTTGGCTGGCTGGCTGGTTTTGTTTTTCTTCTCTTACTCCTTAGATTTGTACCTGTGTGTTAACTGTAAAGTTATAAGCACAGATTAATGTAAGATTATTTGAGATGACCTAAGTTCCTTGCTTTTATAACAGTGATGCTTTATTTTTATATTTGTTCCCCATTATTTTAATGTACTTTTTTCACCCTTTTGCCAGTTATATAGGTAACTGGGTATGACAGAAAAAAAGAAAGTCATGTTTAATTTATAATCCAGGTCAATTTGGGGTAGTAGAACCCTAAACAATAGTCAAAATCATGCATTGTACAAGTGAGGCATCAGAATCCCAGACAAGAGCTAGACTTAGATAGGGGACTACAGCTGTTTGGTTTGGAGTCAGATCTAAGTCCAGAATTTAGTTCAGTTGACTTGGTGATGAGTTATTTTTCCTCTATGTCAATCCCTTTTGTTTTATTCCCAACCTGTATAATGACATTTGGGCAGATCCTAACAGTAAACCCTTTGTGTGGACTTTGCAAACTTGCTGGTTGATGAATCCAAGAGTTAGTGCACATGACGATATAATTTATCCTTCAACTGCGCAGATGATATCCTGTGAATATGGCTTGATACCTCCACAAAATCATTGTTAAAAGGATTGTAGCTATCTGTGAATCTACAACTTCCATAGTGTTTCTTTGAAATATACCTGAAAATGTCAGTCTCACTGTTAAAGACAAATGCCAGATAGAGTAACACAATTATAATTGCTAATTAGAATGCAGTATGATTCTTTTTCTCTCTCTCTCTCTCACCACTGTGCTTATGTTTATATATCCTGTTTTGCTATTCTAGGTTTGTGTGCTGGAGAGGCAAATATTTGACTTCCTTGGATATCAGTGGGCACCTATCCTGGCAAATTTTGTACATATTATTATCGTCATTCTTGGTTTATTTGGAACTATTCAATATAGACCTCGTTACATAACAGGAGTAAGTACCTTTCCTGCTTCCTTAAAAAAAGAAAAATTGGAGTACTGATGCAAACTACAAATGTCTTGAAAATTTATATGTATATCTTCTCCTTAAAGTACTATTAGGTTGTTTTCCTAGTTTCAGATCACATTTACAGTAACTGAAAATGTCAAGTTTAAAACACTTGACAGTGAACATAATCAGATTGTATTTTCATAAACTACACTTCCAGTAAGTATTTTTTTTAATTAAAAACAGAACTATGCCCCTATATTTCCAAACTATAAGATTGTGTCCTTTGATTTAACAGATTTTGAGGGGAATCTTCCCCATTTTCAATAATCATATTTTATAAATTGAATAAATATAGTTTAAAATCAATACAAATGAGTATGTAGCTCTGATGTCAAAATATTTACATATATTGGGGTTAATATTTGATACTTTTGAAAGCTGGAAGAATCTAGACCGTAGTCTGTATATTTTCCTTAATTCTCTTTTTGCTTCAGAGGAAGTATTTTGCATCTCCACTCAAGTTAAACTTACTTAACATAAAAGTGAAATCCAACTGTGTTGCAGTTGCTATGGGAACCATAACTTAGAATTTTTTACTTTTGTATGTGCCTCCGATCTCAGCTATAGCTCTTCATTAATGTAGATTTTTTTTAGTTTCATATTTTTTCTCTTCTATTTTTGACAAAGGAAAGCCTATAAGCATTTATTTAAAATTATAAAGCAATTTTATGGTAAAGGAATATATATATAAGCTAGTGCAGCTAAAACTCTGCCTTGTTCAACACAAACCAGCAAGCCTTCTCAGGTTTCACAAAGGCCTCCTTCACATAAAAGATGCTCTCTCCTGACCTGCTGTCCCAGTCATCTGGAACCTAGATAAAGCTCACTGGGACTGAAACAGACAATGTTGTGACAGCTGGACCAAGGGATCCACTGTCTGGCTAAGGATGAGTGAGAAACCCATAGCTTTCTTCTCTGGGTGCATGCCCAGAAATGAGTCCATGTCCTCTCTAAGGGTATATAGCCATGTAAATCATGTAAAAAGTATGATGTGTTTTGTTGCAGGGTGAAGTTGTCAATATACAAGATATGATAGGACCATTCACTTTCTTATATAAATTGTAATATGATCCAGTATAGGGAAAATAGTACGGTGTTTGGGAGTAGGTCTTCCAAAGTCATAATATCAGGACTGAAATCTTGGATCTGCCATTTTTAAAAAAATTTTAAACAAGCATGACCTCACCAATTTTTGGTTTTCCTACTTTAAAAATAAGAGAATAATTTTATTATCTCATAAGCTTCAATTAATTAGTTATAAGTCATTATAGGAAAGATTTTTTTTTTAAGATTTTATTTATTGATTTGACAGACAGATATTACAAAGGGGCAGAGAGGCAGGCAGAGAGAGAGGAAGGGAAGCAGGCTCCCCGCTGAGCAGAGAGCCAGATGCGGGACTCGATCCCAGGACCCTGGGATCACGACCTGAGCTGAAGGCAGAGGCTTTAACCCACTGAGCCACCCAGGCGCCCTAGGAAAGATTCTTAATTTAACTGTTCTCTCTCATTAGACTTTGAGGGTCCTCTGTGATTTTATGTGTATAAATAATGTTGCTCTAAGTATAAACTTATAAATATGTCATCTCTGTTTCTGATAAAGATCTTGGAATAAAAATCTAGATGTGGATCAAAATGTTCGAACAGTTTAAAAACTCAGAGTTTTGTTGGGAGGAATAAATGGAATATCCTGTAAAATGTCCTTAGCACAATGCTTGGTATTTAAAAAGTGTCAATAAAAGTTAGCTATAATATTTTTCTCGTTTTGAATTTGAAATGATATTAAATTATATAGACTAGTGATAGAATGGCAAGCCATTGAAAATAGAGCAAGGTGTTCTAAGTTAGTGATTGAATGATTTTTTTTCCCTTTTATTCCAGGCTGCTACAACTCTTTAAACAATTTTGTAGAATTTCTATGTATCAAATTATAATCCCGTCCCTTTAGATAAAACACATACCCACAAATCTTCTGAAGAAAGGCTGTTCGCTCTAACATGAGATGAGAATTAAGATGCCAAGGGACAGCTTTAAGATTGTTAGATATTTTATATAGCTGAGAGTGTCTCTGAAATCTTTCTGAGGTCTTAACAATGGGTCTTAGAGCAACATCTTTGCTTTGATCTCAACTTGCAAACAGCATTCTGAATTTGATCTTTTCCTTGAGAGTGTCTTACTTGAAAAACCTCTTGCCAGTTGGAGATTCTGTAAATGTGAAACCTTTATTTTCCAACTCTGAAAGTACTGAGCTGGAAATAAATTCTTTAAATTCTGCTTAGAAACTGAATTGGTCTCTCTTTTGCTCATCCCTCTCTTATAATTATCATACTATGTGTGGCTAAAAGGTGGCAAATAACACAGTCAGCTGTTGCTTGGAAATCCACTTAGCCAGATCCACAAGTTGATAGGTATATTTTCTCTCTTCCTAGTATCGCAGCCAATGGTCAAGCTCATTGTTCTGATAGTAATTTACTATAAATCCTTTTTTCCCCAGTCCTCAAAAATCACTTCCTTACTGTCCTTCCTGTCTTCATTGAGAGTCTCCTCATAGCCCTTCTGGCCTCTACCTGTTACCTTTTCGTAAAACTAATGCTGTGTTTTAGGTTTATATTATAGTATCCTTTCAGTTTTGGTACTGATTTCTGGTCTAGCTATTTATTTCTGTATATTTTCTGTATAACAAACTTCTGAATAATCAAATTAATGGAATCTAATGTCCGTTATTCTATGTTAAAAGTCAAACATTGATTCAGAAAGTAGAGAATTTGACATAAAAATGGAGTTAATATTTTTAATTTGCCTAAAGATGACCAAAGGAATTAAAGAAAGTTAAAAGAAAGTTAAAAGAAATCTGAATGAAATTACAGATGCCAGAAATTGTGATCGTTGAAGAATCTGTGTTTAGCAGAAAAATGCATAACTGGGGCAAGCTGTAGTTAAAGATAATGTATTGTTGCACTTAGCTAATTTCCAAAAGCTCTCTGTGTCCTGGAGATTCAGATATGAACAGTGAAATTTATTTTTCTCTCCCCTAAATGTATAGGCCTTTATTATTTCTTATTGCTGTTTTATATTTTTGCATGATAAAAAACTCAGTTTAAAAATAGAAATACACTCATAATTTCAAACCTAAAGTTATTATTAATATTTCTGCATATTTCCTTTATGTATGTGCAACTGAAACATGCCAGATTCTGTGGCACCTGAGAGGCTCAGTCATTAAGCATCTGCCTTTGGCTTGGGTCCTGGAATGGAGCCCTACATCTGGCTCCCTGCTCAGCGGGAAGCCTGCTTCTCCCTCTGCCCCTCCCCCTGCTTGTATTCCCTCTCTCACTATGTCTTTTTCGGTCAAATAAATATAAAATCTTAAAAAAAAAGAAACATGTCAGATTCTTCTACATTTCAAATAGGTCTTCATCTCTTTTAACATTATATCAAACAATTTTAAATTCAGATATTCATTTAAACTTTTACACTCTTATTATTTATCATACTATATAATAATACATAACATATGTTATGGGTTGTTATATATTATATACTAGTGATTTCCTTGTTTTTATGATAAATAATTCCATATAATCATCTTCATAAAAATACTCTCATCTTTATTTGTGATTTCATCCTTTAGAAGAAATATCTCAGTATAATGAAATAATATGAACAATTTTAAGGTTTTTAGTATATAATTGGGAATTACCTATCCAACATTATTTTACTGAATTATCCTTCCAGAAATGTACAGCAGAGTTTATTTTACTGCACTGTTCCTGACCCTGAGTATTAACTGTTCTCACTTTTGTCAGTCTGATAGGAGAAGAAAATGTCAATTATGTTTTGAATTGCATTTCTTATCTTGACAGAGTTGGACTTTTCATATGTTCATTAGCTATTTTCCATTTGTATATCCTTTTTGGAAGGATTGTCTTTTGGTATGGATTTACATTTGCTTATTTTTTTCCTTTGGAGTCTTAGTGTTTATCATAACAGTTTTTATGTATTGATATGATAAAGATATTTATCCTTTAAATATCATCAATTTTTATTTTGATGTTTATTATTTGTCTCTTGTTAAAATGAACTCCCTGTCCCTTTGTCTCTTGTTAAAATAAACTCCCTGTCCCTTTATCTTCTATTGCTTTACAAATTATAAAATTTAGGGGTGCCTGGGTGGCTCAGTTGGTTAAGTGTCTGACTCTTGATTTCGGCTCAGGTCATGATCTCAGGGTCTGTGGGCTCAAAAGTTATGTCAGTCTCCATGCTCAGCAGGGAGTCTGCTTGAGATTCTCCCTCTGCCCCTCCCACACAACTCTCTCTCTTTCTCTGTCTCTAAAATAAATAAATAAATAAATAAATGATTTTTTTAAAAAATTATAAAATTTAATTATCCTTTTGAAAAGCATAATGATGTCTTCATTGAGTTTCGTTTACTAATCTTTTTTTTCCTAAGAATGAAGACAAAATATTTAAAAATTTAAAACAGGTTAACTGGAAAAAGAACTCAACAGTAGCCTTTGAGGGTCTCTGACATTTCAAGGAATATAATATGTTGAAGGAAAATGATTTCAATTCTAAGCAAAGGAAATCTGAAGCCAGAAACCATAGGAAGCTGTGTATTATAGAATTCTTGACAACATCAAATCCCCCCCCAGAAAGGCCTAGTTAACTTTTGCAGAATGATTTATAAATCATTCACGGATGGCTCCCATGAAAGCATTTCCTCATGTTATAAATGGAACGGACCAGCCCATCTTCATCTGGACTAGGATGTGATGGGATATCAGTTTCTTAATGACCAAAAAATGTTAATAAGTTGCACTGCTCTAAGTTGTCTAAAGTAATCTGAAGAGTGTGCAAGTTCCTAACTGCTAAAGGCACAGGAATTTTCTTGGTGACATTACCAGAATATGGGTTTCTGAATGGCCAAAAAGATTTCTTTCCTTTTTC